CTACATTTATTTATAGTATATATTTCAGTACTGTCTACTACTACATGAAGGACAGTACTTACGAAATAAAACAATTTTGGCTACAAAAAGAAAAAAAACATGAAAGGTAGGTAAAAAAATTGTCATCCACAAGTTTAATAAATTATATGTATAGAAATCTTAATAGTGCGGATTAGCCTAAAAGATTTATGTTTTGTTGACAATCCTTCCTTTGCGCCCTCGGTCTGGCTACTGGAGTATCTTTTTGCAAAGACACATCATCATTGTCTCTACTAGACAGCTCTTCATTAAGTATACGGAAATTCTCTGGTTGCTTTAGTCCGAAACCAGGAGGGATGGTCTCTTCATCATCGGACAAAAAACTTGGTTTATTTTTCGACACTCTCTGGAAAACAAAAATTACATTAGTTGCTTAACAATACTCGAACTTCCTCTATAATGTAATCAATATTTCTCCCAATGTGTTGTGAGCGACAGTAGCTAGCAGTCTTTCAACTCCCCAGTGACGCAAGCATTGATCCAAACCTATGTTACCTCTTCTGGCCAGCGCTTAGAAAGCAAGGATTTACTTCATCTTGAGCTCACCCAAATGCATACCCCAGGTATTGATGTTAAGAATTGGGTCTGATTGAAAATGTCCCTCCAATTGTGGGATGCATGATTTAGCATAATTTCTCGAAACACCATAGAAACATTTCAATTTCTTGTTGACTTTCTTCAGCTAAATAACATAAGTCAGGTCGAACACGCAAAAGACTTTTCAGAGTGCGACTCTGTCACTGATCCTACAAGGTGTACCTTTTTCGGTCATAATACCCTTGTCAGGCTTTCTAGCTTTAGAAAAACGAGCAATACGTCTGACAGCCGATGGCTCAGTCATCTAATCGACTGTTATAAAAACGCTGTAGTTGTATATCAAAGTTTACCAACCCAATGTTATGACTGCCTCTTAACGGCATAACGTCATCCATGCTCCATACAATTAACCTTTGTTTCATGGCATTTACACGATCGTTTATCCGGGTGTGGTTTAATTGGGTTACAATTTGCAAATCTAATACTTGCTTTCGAAGTTCGATGATGGTATGAACTACAGTATGTCATTTATGTTATTTGCGGGAATTTTGGAAATATAATATGACGTAGATTGATAAAAAGGCGTTGTCAGAAAAACCGCGCTATATATATATACATATTCCCCATATTCTTATATGTCATGAGTTTTATATCATATCCATTATATAATCGAAGCTACTATATAAACAAAATAAGTTCCAGTTGCAATACCTAATGAATGACAGCTGTCTGGAATCCAAAATTGGATCTAGTTATTCATGCAACTGCGTTAAATACTTTATGTTAGGATTGAATAACCGCATCTTTGACACAACCCTTGATTTAATTACATGATTTTATCACATAACTTTACATGCAGCTATTGTTACAGTTCTTTTGAAAATCATGCTCGAATGGTAGAATAAAATGCCATTTCTTTGCAGTAAGACGTGGGATGAACAGTATCAGTACCAACGCAAAAGATGAGGTAGTCCCTTCACAAAATCCTAATGACCAGCATGCGGTTGATGTTACCGTAATCGACGAAGTTTCGCGTAACCAAACTTAAAATCATAGTGACAAACGTCGCACGTATAATGTATTGTTACAATAACTAACACGCGATGACGCTTTCGTATTCGAAAATGCAATCAGATACAAGCATTTTGGCCACGACTACAACTGGAACATAATTTAAAAGTTTTGCATAGGCTTAATTAGGCTTCTTGATAATAACGGTTTCTCCAGACAGGTCTAGCGTGATGTCGTAAAGCTTGTCAATGCAAATCTTTTTTCCTACAGTAATCCTGTTTCTGTCTGAAGTAAACTACATATTGACTCACCAAATTCCTTCCATACTAATTGCAATTTAGACTTGGGCGGGTTACTTTCTTCTCCAGAGGCTATACATAGATTACTTGATAAAGGCACCATTGATTCTGTAGAAATGTATAATGTGTGTCAGGAAGTATGTTTGTTTTTTGATAACAACGTACAACAATCACATTGCATCAACATTGCTTTTGGCAAAGTGCGATAAAAAGACCAAAATAAAGCTGAAATATCAATTCGTTCTGATGACATTTCCCCTCCAAAACCTTTTCAAAGCATGCCTACGTCTTCTGTCGCAGCTTCACGTGCAGAAATACTGGTTGACAACGAATTCTATGTAGACTTTAAGTACGCAAATCAATCTAGCGATTATGATGAAGATGGCGTCTATATTGACATATTTTACGATTCGGTCTAAAAACAATTTCTTTGACAAAATTTGCTCAAACGCAATTATATCTGCATTCTGCTTTACGTTGATGGGTTTCCCTACAAATCCAAATTTGGAAGCTCCCAAACGTTAGTCCACTGAAAGGTTATGAACATTCCCGCATCTAAAAGGTTTAGAATTTAAATTTACCTATATATGTTATCTTAATCAAACACACCTTTTCGTTGTTAGAGCAAAGGAGTCGATCATGATAGCACTGGCTATTTTACCTGGCCCAAAAAGCCCAAGTATTGGATGAATTGATTGAAGCCAATCATCGAGGAAATCAATTCGTTGTGTGCAAGAGGATTCTTGTTGGAAAAAACAATGAAACTGTTCACGAAAGTAAAGTATTCTTGCTCGGAATGACTGGTTATATTCCAGGAAAGGCTGACGTCATGAATCATCTTGAACAAACAAGCAAATATGGTTACAGAATTTGCAAAGTGGTTGACAGACATCCTAAAGGTTACCCTTACGGTATGTACGTCTTGGATGCAGGTGATATGAGAACAAAAACCCGAATTAGGCAACGGCGATCCGGTATATTATTCAAAGTGTACACCAATATGTTTAAGATACTAGACGCGGTATGCATTATGGATTCGATTTGCTTGGTATTGATCCAGTGATTAGCTCCCTTTCCACCTTCAGGGTACATCTTTTTTTTTGGTGACGAGACCCATTTAATTGGTAGAGGGCATGGTACTTTGGTCTATAATCTTTTAGTTCCCAACATCAAAACGTTCCGTGAATTCAGCACTATAGATGCATAATATACCCTTGATTTGAGCGCACGTGATGAAAATTTCATCAAAAAATCTGAGGCAGAGCATGGTTTACATACCATCAGCTTTTGAGGGAACTTGGGAAGGCGGTGTAGGTATCGGAAGAGCAATTGATAATTAAGGCTTTCTATTGTACATTCTAACGACTATTGTACTTCATTGGTCCAGAAAAATGAGACCAAATACGCGTAGATGGAATTAGTGAAAGAATATTCGATTGCTTTGTAGTGGCGCATTTCTCGTAAGGACGTTGCAAAAATGAAAAGTTAACATAGCAATCAGAGACTAGATAATAAAAATTAGACATTTTTACAAATATGTAGATGTTTTAGAAGTCGGCATACGTTTCTGAATAAAGAGATTTCTGGACGCTGTATCAATGGGCGAGTGGTAACTGCTAATAGCCGTTATTTGATGCATATGCCATATTTCGTTGATCAAATGGTGTGATTAAAATGCTACTCTTGCCGACCAATGGAGCGAAGACTTAAGAATTTCACCAACTTGATCAAATCAACGCATCTTATATGGGCAAATACTTTAAACGTCCTTCATTACCAGGCTCATTACAACAAAATGGTGGTTAGCTGTGTGTAGTCCATTCAATTTCCGGATTCTACGGATCGTCCAGACAACTACCGTTTGCATTCGGCCGGTGCTCAAATCTGTTCTTCGTTTGTGCCTCAGTCTTGCTTGGATTGGATTGAGGGGAAATATGCTTCAGTGTCCCGAGATCGAAAGTGATAGATCCATAGACGTCTTATTATGATCATAAAATTGGGGATGTAATTGAATAATGGACCTCGTCATCCATTGTGTTTAAAAGTCGTTCATGGAATGATGTCTTAGTTTTTTCTTCAATTATGGACATAACCTTTAAAACCGTAATGCCAGTAGCAAATAATATGATCTTTTCTCAGGCTCCCAAACGTACTGACCACAGGTGAGTAAAATACATTTGGCATACTTTACTGGTACTTACAGCATAAACTTTAGATCTATATCCCTTTGGTTCGTCGGTGAAACTCACTGCTACTTTAGACACAAGCAAGAAGGTGATGACAATATCTTGGCTATCGTTGAAGTAATGAAGCAACAGAAATTTGAGCCCACACTGTTCTGACAGTTGCTCGGAACTCCAGCAGTGTCAGATACAAGAAGTACACTCTTATTTCCATTACAGACTTTCATAAAGTCCTTGGTGTTGTAGGGTATTCCCATTCCGCTAGCATTTTGAAGATTGTTTGGTCGTACATTTAATGTAATGACAAGGTTAATCATCGCCTTGGTGGTTGTTTAGCTGATTTGTAAGTTGGTCGTATCTTTCTCTGTTTGGCGTAGACAAGTTTTTTTATAATTAAACTTCGTCGACAATTCATCTAATTGAGTGATCACTATTTTATTCAATGTGTTGTGTTAATTGGCAATGTGTTATTTGGCAATGCTTGTATAAGAAAAAAAAAACTTAAAAAAAGGAAAGGAAAAAAAATATTAAAAAAAAATTATTTTCAGATCGTCGTGTATTTTGTACACCAAGCTGCGTCCTTCCGCAACATGTTGCAGAATTCCACTACCGAGTCCGCGGCTGTGTTAATTGCCTCTCTGGTTATAATGAGATCATTTGGCCCTCCTACGTAATAGTAAAAATATCACCCCTTAATGTTGAGGGTTGGGGAGCGGCAGTTGATTGCGAGCAATGGCGATTAATAGGTGGTCATCTCTTTTTATTTTATTTAATTGACGGAATGAGAATTTTCATGTCTTAGTTGACACTCTTTTGGCTAGTAAAATATAACAAGTCCTAATTTTAGTGGCTTAGGAAAAACTTTTTTTTAAGACAAGGGCGCGTTGTTTTCTTTTCTTTTTCTTTTCTTCCCTATACCAGTCTTTAAAAAATGCTAGTCCACCTTTTTTTCGAAGAGTAAGTATAATACTCACAATTAGCGTGTTTAATATATACCTGATTCTAATGTTGACATTCAATAGCCTTATGTGTGAATTGACGCATCTCGCCGTTTTCTTTTCGGCATTTCCTTGGTTTTTGGCCAGATTTGGTCTTTTTTTCGCTTGGAAAAAAATTGCTTCGTCTTTTGGCTTTCTTTGGCGTGTAGTAACTGGTCTTCGACCCAACTGTCGCTCTCCGCCAGAGGCTATTGGGGAGTTGTACTTCTGTACTGGTCGGGGTTTTTACCCCATCTCCTTGCGAGATCAAGTCCCCATTTCGCCCTTGCCTGATGTTTCTTCCTGTTCTTCTGCTGGTGCTTCTGCTTCCGCTCCTGCTTGCTTTCCCCCCGCTGTCTTGTCTCCTGTTCGTGAGGTTCCACGCCTGGAATTTTCCTTTGCGTCTCGCCCACCGACAATTGTAAAAGGCGAAAGTAATTGTTATTTTCTGGACTGTGCCTTTGCTCGTGGTTTGCCTTGTGTTGGTGGTGGTTTGGTGCCTTCTTTTCCTCCCTTCCCCCAATACCATCCTTCCGTTCCTCTCTTTGCCTTTGTCGGCGAAGTGATTAGTCAGTCTTGGCTGGCTGAAAACGCTTCCTGTCTTGGTTCGGAGGCTTTGCCTGCTCCTTCTCTTGCTGGTTGTTTGGCTTTTGCCACGTCGTCCTCGTTTGTTTCTTGCTCCGGAGACACATCGTCCGATTGTGGCACGTTGTCACGTGTTGTCTCTTTGTCGTATCAAGTATATAGTTACACAATATTATTTATATATAATTAGATGAACCACAGATCTTAATAAAACATCTTTATCTTATCTTACTAAAATATATTATCGTGACTCCCTTAATACATGGTGAGGCTCCCTTTTTATAAACATTAAGCAGTTTCACAAATATATAAGTAAATCAACATCAACAACAAAAGAAAAAGACTCGACGACGATTCTTCTCGAAATCGCCAGCGACGAAAATTTACCTTATTTGATAATCTTCTCGACGACGATCAATTTTCGGATTCATCAAGTATCTACTTCGACGCTCCTGACAATTTTTACATCAACATGGCCGACTCTACTTCAATTTCCAATGCTACAAGCACACCCGACTCTTTGTCAATTCAAGAGCAAATGTACTTATATAGCAGAATAGAAAAAATAGTAGTGGAACCATATCGTATCAGCGATGATAACATTCGTCAGTGGTTTAAGAATTTTGAGCTTGTCGCCAAACGATACCGAGTGACCAACATGAACTATTGCATCGACCATGTTCAGTTATACTTACCTCGTCCAATCACTCAGTTGATACCCACCTTTCCAGAAATTGCACTGCTTAGCTGGAAGTTGTTCACGGAAGCGATTATGAGACAATTCTCTCGAGGTGCTACATATGATGATAATAAGGTCAAAATGAGGCTTCGACAGATGAAACAAGGTCAATCAACAGCATTGATATTACACATATCAGATTGGACTCATTGTCACAGTCTATTATCCACACCTTTATCAACCGAGCAACAGGTCGACAAATTTCTACAATCCTTATTCAATCAACAATTGCGTTATACACTACTCAGTAAAAATGAGGTGAAAGCTTTTGATACACTTTTAGATGCCACCCAGTCGGCGTTAGAATTGGAAAGAAAAGGTAGATGGGAAGAAGATCTGAAGCCAATTGGTACAACAGCAGGACCGTATATAGATGATGAAGAAACCACCGATATAGACCACATGGATACATCGCTAGCTGTAACTCATCACCCATACCAACCAAGAACACCACCAAGAAACAAAGGTACTTACACTCAACAATACGACCGTGAAGATAAACCTATCTGTTTTTATTGTGGATTTCGCGGTCATAGACATGAGTCTAAGGATTGTTTCCACAAAGAAAAATCAAAAAAGAGCGGAAATCCAAAGAAGCATCCAAACACAGCATCTGTACAACAGGTTGATGCTGCTGAAAATACAGATGATGCGGGATTTTCAGTTTGTTTAACTAAAGTGGCCAACACACAATTCACGAAGCCAAAAATTCGTATCAAAGTCAACAACATTAGTGTGTCAACATTAATTGATACAGGCAGTGATCTCACTATCATGAGCTTAGACATATTCAAAACAATTCCTAATTTGGAATTAGACAGAAGTAATAGGTTACGTTACAAAAATGTAGATGGCCAAGTTAATATTAGCGAAGGTTCCACTAAGTTCGTATTGTACAATCAATTCGTCGAGGCTCAAGTCGTAAATAATTTCCCTCAAACGGATCTTATTCTTGGATATCCGTTATTTGAAAAGTTGAAAGGAAGCATCGATAGTGTTTCTAAAACCATCACTTTCCGTTCCAATAATAAAATTATTAATTTGCCCTTGGCCGAGCGCCGTTATAACGTTGTCCCGGTGTCACCTGTAGAAAATAACATCTGTTTGATATCTGCAGATCAAGTCACTGTTCAAAATCAACAATTACATGTATCACACTCAGAGATAGAAATACAAAAATACTTCGACCAATTGGCTAAAAAATATCCTAAAATGCTACCTAATGCCGACGGTACCATCAAAGTTACAAACCTTATGGAATTCAGCATCGACACAGGCGATGAACCACCTATTTTTATTCCACCAAGAACATATCACCCCGAAAAGCAAAAAGCGGTAGATGAAATTTTAGAACAAATGGTTCGACAGGGCGTAGCTACACGAGTTACAAGTTCACCTTGGGGATCTCCAATTATGGCCATTCCAAAAAAGTTTCCTGTGGGTTCATTTAGAGCCGTCGGCGACTATGTGCAAGTGAACAAGAAGACTAAGCCAATGAAGTATCCTTTTGTAAACATGCAGTATGCGTTACAGTCCTTGGGAAAAAATCGCATTTTTAGCGTACTCGATCTTCAATCTGGTTATTGGCAGATTCCCGTCAAAGAAGAAGATAAGCTCAAAACCGTAATCACTAGCAGATCAGGTCTTTATCAAATGAATGTAATGCCTCAAGGTATGTCACATTCACCGATATTTTTTCAGGATTTAGTCAATAGAGTGCTGGGCGAGTTATGCTACACCAAAGCCATCGTATACATGGATGATATTCTAGTTATGAGCAAAAATATGACAGAGCATATTCAGGACGTTGAAGACGTATTCCGACGATTAGCAGACGCCAACTTGACTATAAATCCAGCAAAATGCCAATTTGCGAAAAAATCAGTCAAATATTTAGGATTCTTAGCAACTGATTCCGGGTTGAAAGCAGACCCAGAAGAAATCAAACCCATACTCGCCATTGAAGCACCAAGTAATTTGAAAGAAATTGAAAAGTTTTTAGGAATGTGCGGGGTTTATGCAAGATTTATCAACAAATATCAAGTACGAACTGAACCGTTACGAAGGTTAAAGAAAAAAGACCAACCTTTTGTATGGCAAGAAGATCAAAAACAGGCATTTGAGGACTTAAAGCATCAACTGATGCAGCTCCCCACTCTTCGTCAACCGGATTTTAGTATACCATTTGAACTCCACACGGATGCAGCGTCGAAACATGGAATTGCTGTAATTTTATGCCAAAGAGTTGATGGTCATCCATACCCTATTTCATTTGCAAGCAGAAGTATGAATGATCATGAAAAGAGATATTCAGTTCAAGAAATAGAAGCATTGAGTATTTTTTGGGGTATTAACAAGTTCAGACAATACTTAGAATGTGGACATTTTACAGTCTATACAGATCATTCTAGCTTACAATGGTTCATGAATACCAAAGAAGAACGTCAAGATCGATTATTCAAGTGGAAGTTGAAACTTCAAGGATATGATTTTTCTATTAAATATATACCTGGTAAAACTAATCACGCCGCCGATTTGTTGAGTCGTAATCCGCTGCCTGAAATTAAAGCAGCCACCAGTATTCCCTCCATCAAATGGGCTGATAAGCAAATGGAAGACGAAGACCTAATTCATATTATCAAGAATTGCCAGGATGTTCGGTACACAGAACGATACAAAGTTATTAGCAACGTATTATATAGACTGCAGCGCGGAATTCGTAACCCAGCAATCAATCAACTTCACCTGGTAGTCCCCAAATCGTTACGACAGACAATGTTTTTGGAATTGCATGCCACAGAGTTCGCTGGTCATTTTGGTTTTCAAAAAACTCTGGCAAGATTCAAACAACAAAAAATTTGGTGGGAAAACATGGACAGAGATATAAAAGCTAACATCAGCAAATGTATAGTATGTCAAAAGACTAAAACAGGACGGTCTTTAGAATACGTGCAAAAACCAACAACGTCCGTAACACCATTTACTCGCGTCGCACTTGATTTTTTTGGGCCCTTGCCTCAATCTGACAGTGGTAACAAGTATATCCTAGTTTGTCAAGATATGTTTACAAGATACGTAGAATTATATCCAATTCCCAATATTACTCAAGACACTTTAGCCGAAACAATTTACCATCACTTCATTCCACGACATGGTTACGTACAAGAGTGGGTTTGTGACAACGGATCCCCGTTCAACGCAACATTTATTCAAATACTAGCACAGTTAGTAGACTCTCACATTCGTTATACACCTCCTTTTCATCCAGAAAGCAACGGATTAGTGGAAAGATTTATGTCCACACTGAGACGAGGAATTTTAGCATTCACAAATTTGACATCACGCAACAACGATTGGGATAAGAAATTAAAACATTTTCGTTTTGCTTACAATACATCATTTCACAACTCGATTGGTGATACACCATTTTTTTTAACTCATGGACGAGATGCTCATACAACCAATTTCAGCAGTTATATAAAATCAGATTCAGTTACCATACTATCAAAATTCAAAAATGACCTAGTAGAAACCGTTCGTGCAGCTCATGAAATCGCAAATATTCAAAATGAACAGCAGCAATGGTATACAAGTGATGAATCGAAGTTCCAAAAAGACCAACTAGTACTATTGCTCAATTCAACACAATCTAACGCAGCCAAACAAGTTTCTAAGAAATTACTAGACCCTTGGATTGGACCATTCCGAATCATTAAAGTGTTGTCGTCGACAACGTACGATATAGAAAGCACCGAATTAGAAAAAAAGAAATTATTTTTTCACGTTCATGTGTCTCGCTTGAAAAAATACTGTTCAAATTTTGAGGAGGGGCATGTCGTATCAAGTATATAGTTACACAATATTATTTATATATAATTAGATGAACCACAGATCTTAATAAAACATCTTTATCTTATCTTACTAAAATATATTATCGTGACTCCCTTAATACATCTTGTCCTTTGACTCCCTTTGTCGAGACTTTGCCTTCTTCGACAATTGTTGAGTCGTCTCCTGTTCCGGTTGCTTTGTCTGTGGCTGCGGCCCAGCCAGCGGCTGTTGATGTTGGACCTGTGGCTACTTGTGGACCTGTGGCTGTTTCTGGACCTGCTGATGTCCAACCTCCTGATGCTGTCTCTTGTCCTGTTGCCGTTCCGCGCCGTCTTGCCGTTCCTCGTCGTGTTTCTTCGGGTCGTCGTGCCGGTGTTCCTCGTTCTTTTGGCGCTGGTACTGCCTCCTCTTCGGCTATTGTTTCTCCTTCTGTCCGTCTTCCTTCTCCTTGTGAGAATTCAAACTCTGGAGGCAAACGAAAAACTCCTCCGCCCTCCCCACCATCATCTCCTCGTCGCCGAGTTTCCGGTTGTCCTTCTTTGGACAAGGAGTCTTTGACTGCTTCTTTGGCTTCTGTGGTCGCTTCTGCTCCTTTGGTGTCTTCTGTTCCTGTGGTCGCTTCTGCTCCTGTGGTCTCTTCTGTTCCTGTGGTCTCTTCTGCTCCTGTTGGTTCTTCTGTGTCTTCCGTCTCTTCTGTCTCTTCTGTTCCTGCGGTCGGTGTCGTTGAGGCCTCCTTCATCTCTGTTTCCCCTGCGCGACCTATTGCAATGCCCTACGTGGCCCATTATGAAAAAGCCAGGGAGAGACAGAGTTTGAGGGACCTCTTCGACGCCGCCGAAAAGGAGGGTAAGCTATTTTTATTTCTAAACTTTTTGAAAACATTTGATTAATTAAATATTCTTATTTTGTAGAAGAAGAGGAATTAAAGAAGGAGGAAGAAAACAAGAAAAAAAAATGTCTGTTTGGCAGCAGAAAATAAATTTTTTTATAAAAGCTTAATTTACTAGGATCAATTACTACAGGTTTTTTTTTGTTTGATTGGGTATTTGGTATTTATTTTAAAACGAGACTTTCAAATGAAGTCATTCCATCCTAAAGATTGAGATCGCTTCATAGAGCTTCTTACTCATTTCTCGAATGACGACTTGGACAAGGAACAGTAGTGCAATTTTAAGGGCTCTCACAAGCAACAAACTTATTTTTTTAAAGTCCCAATTCTGGACTTATTACTTTTTTTTTTAATCGTTACTTCAGACTTCCAAAAAAAAACCTTTTTCCAAACTGCTTGACGTTGCTTTTTAACGACCCTTTTTAAACGATTATAATGTAGACTTTACTCAAAATGGTAACCTATCTATTATTATTTTTCAAGGACTCTATTTTTGCGATATAATTTTTATTTTTAGAGCAAAAAAAAATGACCCTATCCCAAATTGTTACCGTAATTGCTGAATTGCTATTAGTTTTATTTGAACTTGATGATGGTACAGTGCATATAATTTGTAATGAACAACTTTTGGCTCCGATTTTAACAAAAAAAGAAAAAACGCTATCTGCCCCATGAATTTAACATGTATCGTGAATACGGCTCAATTCCGTTCTTTATTACAGAGTTCTTCATAAAATAATAGAGTCCGATTTTTTCTTTTCACACAATATATTTTATAGATGGTAAAACAAAATTTACCGTTTACAGTGGGGAGACACAAAGATGTCCGGGAGGTGTTTTACAGTGCAGAAATTCATAAAAATATATCAGATATATCCCGGTTAAATGTTTTCAGCAAAATATTAGATTCTGTTCTCAAAACCAAATGAGGCGCCCCTTCGGGCCGCTGTTCCCATTATTTAAAGGCGTATTAGACAGTTCCTCCTGACCATATATTTTTGCACCGACGCTTACGCTTCGGTAGAAACACATGGTTCCCAGGAGGGTAAATCAATTGGATATGTGCATGAATGTCCGAAGTTTATATATTTTCAATGATACAAATTAGCGTTAAGAAAAAAAAACTTCAAAAGAGCATCATCATATTTGAAAGAGTCTCGATAACTATGTAATGTAACCTTTAAAATGAAATCACTTTCAGCTTCAATTTTAGGACCAAACATTAGAAAACGTAATGATAGTAACAATTACAAGTACATTTTTATCCTACTTTGTACCTTATCATATTGCAAGATTTCATTACATAAATCGTTGCACATATTGAATCTTTAATGATTAACCGTTTGATCCAAACTTACACTTCTGGCTTCACGAATGCTAACGTTCATGTTTATTTGTATTAGAAAGGTGTTCTTTAATAACTCAACCTTGCTTTGACATCACGCAATTGTAAAATAAAGCTTTCATGGCAAACAAGCGAGTATCCAAGACAACCATTATTAGTCTATATATGGTAATATAAATGTTTATTTACTTTTTTTCAACCATTTCTTACGCTACTAGACTCGTAAAGTCCGTCTAATACGCCAAAAATATGAAAAACACCAGTTGTAATGAAGTCAAAGTGACTAATATCTGTAACTCAGGCCATCCAAAGGGTATCACAGCCAGAAGCAGAGCGTAGAAAAGACTTTGCCAATCAAACCACACTATGGTCATATTAAAATATAATCATACTAATAGTTTCAGAAAATCAAATATAAATTAATGAAGTTCAGAATAAATAAAATATAAATTATCTTACATCCCAATTTCTACGTTTTTCAATACTTTCCTTGTTAGTTAAAGAGTACTTTATAATCAATAAGGCGCTCAGATAGTTTAATTTATTTAGCCAAGGGGTAATTGGAATCCCTTTACAACACAGTTGTGGTAAGGCGATATTTTAAAGACGAATGACTCTAGCGCCTTAATAGCTCTCTGTGATGGTACTTTGTGTCGTATTTGGGTACGATCCACTTAAAGAATAATTAAGCAAATCGTTTAAATAAATAAACTATGAAATTAAAACAACCTTTGATGTTGCATATCAGCATACGCTTGTATACTGCTATACAACTTCTCCTACTTCGAGTACATACTTCTATATAAAAGATTGCATGATTGGCCTAAATACGATATACGAATGACAGTTGGATACAGAATGCTATACCACTGAGTTACGATATCACCGATCGAGAAGAGAAACTTCTCAGATCAATCAAGAATTATAAGAAAGAGAAACTTAATATTAATAGTTCTCCCAATGGATTAGCTACCCAGAGAGAGAATAGAACAGCTATTAATATAAATGGTTCATTTACTTATATATTGATATAATTATACTGCTGATAAAGAGTATAAAGAAATAGTGTATGAATTAATGGATACCTAGCTTCTACAACCAAATATACAAGTATCGATAAGACATTTTATATTTGGGATCGTAATTTATTCATTACAAAGATAATGAATAAATGATCAACTATTATGTTCTATTGCCAATTACACTTGACAAACAAGTATGCATCTTTTACAGTAACCGTTGCATGATCTGATAAATAAGTGTCTCGTAATACTAAATATTTATTAGCATACTCATGCTCCCGATCCACTGATATGGGACAACGTTATCTGGAAACAATTCTAACGAGTAGTATCCATTTAATCAAGGCGGGAAACAAAGTATAGATCTATTCCAAAACCAGAAAGGTTGACTCATCATTAAAACTCAGGAGAGTTGTGCAATATAAAAAGGATCAATTATTTCATAGCAGCAGAGTTCTTTTAGTCTATTTTTACCCCTAATAAAAATATACTTTTATCTCATTACTTTTCTATGTAATATTTTGTCAAATACCACACTTTGAAGATAACCTTGTGAGATTATACCAAGAGATTATTTCTTGTCGTAGCCTAAGTAGGACTATGTGGGCTAAACGCACATACAATAAAAATCATCGGTAGTCCAAATATATATAAATTATCCAAATTTGGAATTTTGTCACATTGAATACAATGTAAGAGCCAATAGAAAACATTATTATATATCATTAAAGCAATCTGTCAATGACAACGTACCCTTGAATTCCTGTAGAATTCAACAGCCAAGATAAATTTATGGACTAGCAATTCTAATAACAGTCAGCTTTCGAAATTGTATAAAAAGACCCCATTATTCCATAGTTAAAATTTTAGCCAAATAAAGTAACAAGGATTTACAATCGTAGCTATCGTACTATTGTTTTTTTTATATAGTTTATATTTTTTTTATCAAATCAGAAGAAATTGTTTTGTAACACTATGTACTACTCAGTGATATTATAAAGTCGTAGTTTCTTCTAAATTAATAAAGTCCAAGCTCCTTTCTTATCCATAATCTTACGAAACAGTTCATCATCCTAACGTGAGCGGAGTGTTGTATTACAGTCAAGATAGTTTACGGATAAAAGGTTTTGTTGTGTTTAGAGGTAAGTAAAAATTATAAGGCAGTTTATGAATAATTTGAGACTGTTTATAAGATTGTCTTTATTATGAAATAAAATGAACAAGTATTTATATAAAAAAGACTATCTGCTGTAACACTATCTTTAGTGTATCTTTGAAGTTGTTATCATTTTCCCAGTGTGTATCCTGTTACCTTTAACTGCTTATTTTGTAAATATGTTACACTTGGAATTACTGTCATCTTAGACACATTGTACTTCCATATCTTTAGTAAGCCTTTGTCACTGTGTTCTTGTAACCTTGTGATATGATAGTACTAACTATCTATATTGGGTAATTGATTCCTTAATCATTCTTAATGTATTGATGTCATAGATATAGGTTTATTTAATGTAGCAACAATATAGCAGATCACCACAGGTTTCATTAAATCAACAGGTAAATCAAATCCCGAAACAACATTTGGTGGAGTGGCTGGGCGTTACTTCATAGAAAGAAGAAAGTGGAACGAATACTGAAAGAATCAACAGTTTAACAATATTATAGGTAATTACAACAGTGACGTCTGTCTACCTCTCGGGGTCCTAATTGCAAATAATATCATATTCAAGAATCATAACGCTAAGAAATATGTTGACCATAACACGTCCGTATTAATTATTATAAAACAAAATACAAGCAAATCACGATAGCCACTGGAAACCAATAATCGGTCCCCACCTATGTTTTCTGGAGCGGGTAAAGCCCAGGATCCATTACTCTTCTTGAAGACTATGAGAAAGTCTTCAGGTGGAACAACCGGCGAACTGGCGAGAGGAAAAAGGACACTTTTCTTTTACGTCTGACTGGTCATGCTGAAAGATGGATGAAAAATCATTTGATGAATGATAGAAAGAACTTCGAAAGCCTACTATATGATGACGGTACCTACGATTGTATCTTGGCCAGTTTCAAAAATCATTACATAACCGACGAATGGTATGACTGATATACCAAGCACTAAGTGGAACGTATTCAATCTAATGAAGCGACACATTTGGAATTCATGGAGATGAAACGTTGTTATATGCAACGTGCTATACCTGATTGTATTGATCGTACTGAAATGCAAAACGTCAGAGATACCATGAAAAGTTTATTATCTCAAGTTCGCATTTTTGTGAGAAGAAGCTGAAGCATCCTTTGAATAAATAAGCTAAGAAGACTCTCGATAGTCTTGATGGTTTCGGGAAGTTGCTGCGCTGTGCAAGGAGTTGTATGTTCGAAGACCGTAAGGTTTTGAATGTTACATCTTATGACAAAATTCTCGTGAGCAGTACACCAGTAAATGCTTTACTCAAATTTGAGATTAATTTAAGTTGCACAGACCATTCAAGTGGTACAGCAAATAATATCAAGTCGAATATGACGGATTTCCAACGACTAGTTTAGGCCAGTTTGAAAAGCTCGATTACATTGAGAATGAACTTGCCGTGGTCAAGAATTCTGTTGACATGATGGAGAAGAACAACGCAACTCAAATGGGTCAGTCCACCTTTTCACGTCGCACTGGTAACCATGGTACAGGTGGAAATAAATTAAGGTGTTACAATTGTCATGATGTAGGGCATTTCGCTAGGAATTGTAACTTGTTGTGTAATACTTATGAATAGCCAACCACTCGTCTTTTAACTGTCTCAATCGTAATTATGAGAACCGTGGTGAAGGTCAAACAAACAATTCCATTGAAGAGCAGAAGGATTTTCAGAACGGCCCTCTACAGGCTTAGACGTAGAACGACATTCCATTAAAAATAGTCCTAAAACAAATACTTCATCCATGCACGTTATCAAACACGGAACCAAAGTTGAGATAGACAAGGTGTATGCGACCAGTACTACGAAGAAGACTCTGGAAGAGTCTAAAGTGATTAGGTTACAGAACTTAGAGTTACCTTTACGGTCAACGGTAATAGCTATGACAAGGACTATTTTTGGTAGATGGGATTTATCCAAAGTATGTCACTTTAGTCGAGACCTTACCTAACCCCCAGTCTTAATAAAATAAACGTAATTCGCAAAGGCTCAAGAGGCTGCGAGAAAGGACATTTAACGTGCTTTTGGAGTCTTGCAAGCACGCTTTGCTATGGTACAAAGGCCTTGCCGGCTCTTCAAGCAAGACGATCTGCATGCAGTCATGATGGCATACATCATATTACATAATATGATTATTGAGGATGAACGTGAACTAGATATTGATCTTGTTTAAGAACCCCATTCTGCCCTTCCTTAATCATCTCGTTGTACTATTTCGTTTGGGGAGTTTGTTGCTACATTTTGCAGTGTTCGAAATGCTGATATGTACGATCAGCTTTAATCTGATTTAATTGATTACTTATGGGATAGACGAGGCGACATGCAGATATCTACAAAATTCTAAATAAAATAGTTTTTTGAACAGAAAAAGAAGTTTTTATTTATTTAATTTTTCATCATCCTCAGCCAAAGGAACTTCGCCATCTTCCACCAAAGGTTCCTTTTCCTCAACCAAAATAGGCTCTTCTTTGCCCAATAATTGTTAACTTTCATCATCGGTATTCAAAGATGGCTGATGAGGATCATAAAAAGAATTGCAATCATCTTCGACCTTATTTGGCAACGACTGTTTACGGGGCTCCTCCTCTGCCATGATACGATCCATGATGATGCGTTGTTTATTTTCAACGTATCTTCTGTGTCCTTCATAACGGATGGAAGTCGTATCCGTCATCAAGATATCATTCAATCTTTCGTTTTTCTTGAGAATTGGCGTAAACCAATTTCTTCTTGGCCAATGCCATCCTCTCCTTGGTGATTTCGATGTAGGTATTGTAAGATGATGCCAATTGGTTGACATTTTTCTTGTTTTTTTGCTCGTCGAGCTTCGCGTTCTTACGTCCCATAGGACCTACCTCGTCCGAAGTATCCTCAGCTGAAATTCTTAATGCCTCCTTCTTTCCCTGGCCTTTGGATTATATTTCAGAGATTTCAAGTCTGTCTTTACATTTTTCACAAATTTCAAGAATATCGTCCAAACACAAGAATTCGAAACTTTTCTTTTTTGCTTGGGTCGGCTATATACATCTCTATAGCCCTATGTATCTTTTATTTCCATAAATATTACGTACGTTTGTATGTATTTTAAACAATTTTGAGTATTAATGTATACCATGTCCTTGGGACTAGATCCAGTGGGAGAGGGACCGTTCATACAAGTTTTAAAAAAACCACTAAACTTGCTAACGGCCTTTGCAATGGCCGTTAACCAAACCCGGTCAGACGACCAACACCTGTTCCTGGGAGGCGTTTTATACCTCTTGACATAATTAATGTCGAAGTCATTGCCAATGTTTTGCGAAACGTCAAGGCCAGTTTGATCATTAACCTTAATAGGATCGTTGCACATTGAGGACCACAAATGGCAAAACTGAGCGTCCTCTTCATCGGTGTAATTAAACCCACGACTACGCTTGTAAGCATTAGGGTCTTGTTACGTTTTAGGCATTGTTTATTCGACCAATATCAAGTAAAAAAAAAAATCTGGAAGTTAAACATTTTTAAAAAAATGTGTAATTTCGTAGATCTTTGCAACTTGAGATAAAAAATTAAGTTTGTATAAATTTACTGCATATTTTAATCAACCGCTCGGGAATTATTTTATAATTATTTTTTTGATTTACGAAAAGCGATAATTTAATCAACTGCCGAGGATGCTGTAAGGCAGAATATTACTCCGTATTTGATTGTCTTAAAGGGTTTTTGCAACTAGAAATCAATGATGATTGTGGTGAAACACATAATATATAACTATATAAACTACATAAATAATAAGGGATACAGCCAATAATAAATATGCATTATGGCATAACAAAGAATACAACCGATAAAATACATAATATCATTTCAGATGAGAATATGAAAGTACAATATCCTTATCAGCATTTTACCATGAGTCATAGACAGGGACAAAATATCTATAATAAGGAAATAGAAAAGAAAACTCTGTGTTACCTCAAAGAGTATCTTCAAATCCAAATATATCTGCTGTAATCAGAACAGATAGACAGCCTTTTCTCTGTAGAACACACACAAAATACAGTTTCTCAAGCGTAAGACAGTGATAAGCACAGTAACAGATTATCACAATTATAAATCATTACCATCTAACAATTTATATAATAGGACAATTTCTAAATAGATAGTTTTCCTTTTAGTTTATTTTTAACCTTTAACTTGGAATAATACCACACCAGTTTTTTAACTGATCCCTGTTTTTATTTTTAATCTTTTTTATTTTTCTGTGTAAACCAATCCCGTTTACCACATTTTTTTAAGTTATATCCCATGTAACTTTATTCAAGCAACTACTACTATCAAGATGTCTCACTCTCCCGAGGAAACCACTGTTCTCCCCAACGAAGTCCAAGCTGTTACTACCGAGGCCAACCACCAGGTCCAGAACATCGCTGAAGACTCGGGAAAGCTAGGTGTAGCGGACGCGACCAACCAAGAAGACACCGTGATGGAGGATTCTCAACCCGAGGAAGAGGTGTTGCCCATTCTGACTCCCGCTCAAGTTGTAAAGAAGAAGGTGCAAGAAAGAGAAGCCTGGTCTCTTGAGATCTGTAAACTGTATTCCAAGCCTGAACAACGCACTGAACAAGATGATATGAAGATTCATCAGCTTGGTGAAGCTGTCAAGCGAATTACCAGAACAATGAATTCCTATTCGGAAGTGTGGGGAACCCCTGGTCCAGCCCAACGAGGAACTGAAGCCTCAAAGTATGCCAACATGCCCAGCGGATCAGGAGGTTTGGCCATTAGCCGATTGGATCTACCCAAGTGTAACATCGAAGGCAAGGTGAACGAGGAGTTCAAGAACGAGCCAGTATTCAAGAACATCGATGAACTTCTGATCATCTTTGAAGACATTGTGAGCTCTGCTGATCAAGATGTCGAAGTCATTTGGAAGAAGTATCTGTCCCTTACTATGAACTCGAAAGATAAGCTTTGGGTACGTAAGGAGGTCATGTCATGTAATAACTGCACCAAGGCCAAGGAAGTCATCGCCGCTCACTTCAGCAACCGCAAATTAAGGTTGAGAGCTACTCAACAGCTGGTATCCATGAAGATGCGACAAGGAGAACTACTGACCCAATTTGATGCTAGGTTTTCGCGTGCTTTGGAGGAGTCTGGTTTCGAGGTGAGTCAACAGCTCATTGCTGATCTGTACTTGTTGGCTTTGCCTGTTGCTTCGCAACCGGTGTTGTTTACCTTTGTGAGTGCGCACTTGAGGGAAGGACAAGAGCATGGGACTTGTGATGATGTCTCACAAGCCGCCAGCAAGCTGTTTTCTGGCAAGATGCCAACTGAAGAGGAGGTCCTTGGTGAGCAAGAGGATACTGGCAAGAGAAGAGCCAGCAAAGGTACTGAGTCTCGTGCATCCAAGAGAAGAAGCCTTCCACCCCCTTCGACGGCTAAGAAGTATTGCAAGAACCATGGGAGCAACAACTCTCACACCACGGAGGAGTGTGCGATGAACAGACGAGGGGCTGAACGAAGAGTTGAAGCGGAATCTTCAAGACCAGCAAGAAAACTCCTTGATAATCGAAACCAACCTCGGGCTGATACTGGTAACCCCCGTAACCACTGTATAAGAGACTGCTTCTGTGGCCGTGGTTGTGAAGAGTTTCACAACAACGCGAAAACCATTTTGTCTGTCTCGGCTGCAAAGCAAAAAAGAGAAGATGAACATTACCAGTTTGAGTGTAAGAAAACACCTAATAATACATTAAATAATTTCAAAAATCTAATCACGCCCATTATCTTGTATAATAGGAAGCTCAAAGGAAACGTAGACACCGGTTCTGATCTCACTTGTATTAATAAATACATAGTTGACAATTTTTTTCCCTCTTTAAAAATTAATAAAATAAATGGAACTTTAAATTACTTGTCTAACACTGCTAAAAGAATTGGTCAAACCGAACCTATAACTATTAAATATTTAAATAACGTCTGTTTTGAATTTTGTTTCGAAGTAGTAGAATTTAATGATACATTGGAGACTGATTTTGATGTACTTCTTGGTACAGATATTCTCTCAAAGTTGAATATTAGATTAACCAACGTAGCTTATATATATTACGATGATGATGAAATTAATGAAGAACTCCAATTTGGCAGTTCGAATCACGTTCCATCTATATAAGTATGATCCTGAAGATGCTGATTTTGGTACCATCGAAGGGAGGGAGAAATTAATAAACTACATTTAACCTTCTATACCAAAACATATTAATATAAAAGCTGGACAATTTTGTAACTTTCCTGGAAGTATTGTAAGAATACCAATCAAAAATGATGCTGCAGACTGTTACTTACCGTAATATCATATTCCATATCACAAGATGCCCGAAATTAGAAAACAAATCGACGAATGGTTAGAGGCTGGTATCGTAGTCAGATGTGAACCAAGCAATGAATATAATGGGCGACTGCTGGCAAGAGGAAAGAAAGATGTGAACAATAGGATGACAAATACACGTTTATGTCTCGATTTGAGAAGACAAATATGAAAATCGATGAGTCATTGGTAGAAAATTAGGCCATTCCTAACATGCAAGACACTTTCGAAAAGGTATCACAAGGAAAAGTGTTTAGCAGACTCGATCTTAAATCAGCCTACAAGATCTTTAAAGTGGATGAACCTAGTCAAGAAGTCTTATCGTTCACATTTAACGGTCAAACATACAAAGGGATAGGAACATGCTTCGGAATAAAATTTGTCACGAGCCAATTTTGCAGAGGAATGATTATCATTCTTGACGGTGAAGCTAATATAGCAACTTATGTACATAAATAACAACGGCTACAGTCAATAATAAATATACACCATTTCATAACAAATCATACAACCAATAAAATACATAATACCATTTCAGATAAAGATATGACAGTAACGTATCCTTATCATCATTTAGCCATGAGTCATAGACAGTGACCGAATTTCTATAATAAGGAAACAGAAAAGAAAAACTCTGTGTTACCTCAAAGAGTATCTTCAAATCCAAATATACCTGCTGTAATCATAAAAGATAGACAGCCATTTTTCTGTGTAACATACACAGAATATAGTTTCTCAAGCATGAGATAGTAATAAGCACAGAAACAGCTTATCACAATTATAAATCATTTACGTCTAACAATTCATATAAATAGGATAATTTCTAGATACATAGTTTTCCCTATGGTTTATTGTGAACCTTTAACCTGGAATAAAACCACAATGGATATTAACTTACTCCCTGTTTTTATTTTTATTCTTTTTACTTGTCTGCGTAGACCAATCCCGTTGACCCCAATGATAGTCGTGATTATACTGGATTTTCAACAACATTCCGTCAATATTGATGGAAATGACTTCCTATGGACCTAAAAGGTAGTCCACAAACGTGGCAATCTTGTGTAAATTCTATCCTTTCGAAGAGCTATATATGCTTGTTTCAATATACATTGATGATGGGTTAGTCTTTTCTAAATCGTTGGAAGAGGATGTGAACCAGTTAGATATCATATTGACCAACGCAAAAGCACCAAATTTGTCATTATCAGTCTCTAAATGGAAGTTCGGCTACCAAGTTGCAAAACTACTAGGACTTTTATTGGGTAAAGACGGTTTTAAGATGGATCCAGACCGGATCGTCAAAATTGTAAACTGGCCACGACCTAAGAATTTGACAGAGATTAGTCAGTTTGTAGGGATGATAAAATACTATCGAAGATATCTAAGAGGTCTACCAGGATTAATATCACCAATGAACAAGCTCAAAAGGAGGAATGTTTTTCATTTGGGTACATGAACAGGAAATGGCATTTCAAAGTTGTAAAACATTGCTGAGTTGTGATCAAGTATTAATCCATCCTGAATTTACTAGAATGTTCATAGGCCTCATCGATGCGTCGTACACTGGTATAAGATATGTTATTTCCAGGCAGAGCAAGGTAATGAGAATTTTATACGACCAGTATGTAATTGTAGTAATGCGTTAACTGATGCGGAGAACAGTACATGCATTTATGAAAAAGATTTTATGGCGATTGTATGTTTTGTCTACGTTTTTAACGTTTATCTATTGGGTGTTTACACCGATCAGAAAAGTTTACAATATCTCATCAAATTTAATGAAGTGGCATCCGCAAAAGCTGTCCGATAGAAAGCCTCTTTATTGGCGTATGACTTTGATATTATTTATTGTCCTGGAAAATTAAATACCAACGCTGATGCCTTTTCAAGATTAAAAGCAGCATACTCGACTCGACCAGAGTTAGATGCAATTATCGAAGACCATTATCGGCCACACAACGGTATAAAAAAACCCTGTTTTTCTTGCGTCTCTCTGTTAAACGGGGCTTATGTGCTGCATAATAAGATCCAAATCCAAGCTCATTTACTGATGTGATAATAGTTGCTCTAGAGACGTTAATTTCAGCCCTTTGTAACTCTAATTTCAAATCACCATACGTGACAAAAGGATCGTCTCTAAAGTCACGTTCGATATCTCTTTGCGCCCTCTGGTCAATCTTTGTTTGGGGCACCAAGTTGTTTTTTAGGAAAAGTACTACCTGCTTCTTATATCCTTTTCATAACACTTTGCACTGTGGTCGATAGTACGTTAACTGTACTGGAAATGACGGTTGGTGTTATGCTGTGCTTATTTAGGTGAAAATACCCCAAAGTAAATCTTCTTTTGGTGGATTATAGTAACCACGAGTGTGATTTGTCGATTCTGTTAAAGGCATACCTGGTTAATTAGTGATATATGAAAGAAAAATCAATTTTATTAAAAGGGGTGTCTTTAGAAAGAAAGGCCAAGAATAAGGTGTTTCTAAAATCAATTGTGTGTAACTGTACATATCATAATCAATACTGATGGAATTTTTCGAGTATCTTAAAGGTCATTATCAACGATTTTGCGTTACGTTGTTATGAGAGTATGGGTTTGATATTGAGCTTTTTTAATCCTCGTGGCTAAAATTGTCACAGTCGTAGAACTCGTCTTCTGTATTGTCACAGTCATAGAAGTGGTCTTCTGTATTGTCATCAGGACTTTTTGCAGAATCTGCTACGAGTTCCTCTTCACCGTCTTCATCAATCACAATCGTGTTCTGTCGGATCTCACGTTCTTAATCCGTTTCGAACATAATATTAATTTCATCACGAACGTATGTATCCGTGGGAATGTTGACTTGAACAGGGAAGATGACATTAAATTTAATGAAAAGATTACCCTTGTTGCCATTCGTATCAGAGAATAAGGGCATTCCTTCACCTTTCTGAATGAAGTCCATACCGAGGGTGATCACTGTACCGGGGGATTGTTGAAGGTTTAATTTGCGACCATCTATATGTTTTATAAAATCCCGATTTCGATTTATACCCATGAGAGCATCTCGTAGTTTGATATCGATAAAAGCATGTAAATTGTTTCCCTTGCGCGAGAAACAGCCCCATTTATCTTCGACTTTAACATGGATAAGTAAGTCGCCCTTTGTAAGGTGGTCTGGCATGACATTGCCATAGTGCTCCACTATGATTGTGTGGCCGGAATGGATGCCTTTGGCAATTGGAATCAGCACACTGACACGAGTAGCTTTGGCCCCAAGACAGGTCTGGCATTTCTTTTTGTAAGTTTTTAAACCTGCTCCATCACAACCAGAGCACGTAACAGATACTTTCTTTCTGTTACCACTCAACCGGGTTTGTACATATGCAGCACCGTTGCAAGTCGCACATTTTTCAGAAAGGAGAACAGTACTCTCAATACTATTATTTTAAAATTATTAACATGCTGGTTTTTTTTTATTTCTTTTTGCTTACCCATGGCATGTTTGGCAGTTCAACTTCAGGTTGTAGTAAACCTTGAAGGCGCTAACGCCGAGATACGATTCTTTTAAAGAAATTTCCGCGGTAGTATGGATATGGTAGTCTGATCCTATAAAAAATTTTTAGCGGAGTTTCAACATTTTATAACAACTAAGCCTTACTCTTAGGAGGTGGTGGTGGAGGAGTGGATGGAGCGGGTGGAGCTGGTGGAGTTGGCGTCCTGCGTCGTCGTCTTGAGGTGTAAGAATAAGTATTTCCGTAAAAGCTTTCGAAATCGAAATTCCTCCCGCGTTTTTTTTTCAAATCATAAGCCACTTTTTGTTCGTGATCAGACAAAATCTCATACGCGTTTAAAATTTTTTTGAACTAAGGCAAGTTAATGTCATGAAATGAGATAGATAAAAAAAATGTTTTACCTTTTCGGTTCCATTGGAATTTTTATCAGGGTGATAATTTTTAGCCTATAAACAAGTTAGCTACGCAGTCTGTTTATTTAAATGACAATGTACTTACCAATTTGTAATAAGCCTGTAATTAAGAAAATAAAAATAAATGAGTTACATTGACAAAAAAAAATTTTTAAGACGCGTTCATACCTTTCGAATTTCAGAGGAAGTTGCGTTTTCTGTAACTCCTAATGTCTTATAATGTGAATTCGTCATTATAATTCTGGTTGTTGTGTATGAATGAGTAAAAAAAAAAAGAGAATGTCGACACCTACGTCTTTTTTTTTTAGGTACTCTTTAAATCACCGAATTTTATTTTAAAAAAATAACAGGTGACCCACGTACTTTTTTTTTACAAGTTACTATTTTTTTTAGTAACGTTTTTCCTTGAATAAAATTTTTAAAATGTTGGTTACTACTTCTACAGCTACATCTTCTCGTACTGTAGGTGGTACCTTTGCTTCTGTCCAGGAATTTAAAGACGCCTGTTTGGATGCTGCAGCCGACCAAGATTTTCAACCATTCATCCGGGACAGTTCACCCATTGGACAGGCTGAAAAGTCAGCCTTTTTCTATTACGCCTGTGTTTTTAGCAACAATAACTAGGCCGTTTGTACAGGGAACTCTCCTAAATTAGTTAAAGTTACATTGACAGAAACATGCGACTTTTTTATCAGAGCAGTTTTGCCCAAGGAGAATGGAGATCGTTGGATCGTTGAAAGCCACAACGATATCCACAATCATGACATGTTGGAAGACGACAGAAAATTATGTCTTGTCAACAACTGAAATCTCCATTACGAACATAAACTTCATCATTGACAAGATGCACGTCGCAAATGCCAAGACATCGGCCATTGTCATAGCCGTAAACAACGTCAAGGGTACAAAGATGAGAGTGATTGCAACGGACATGACTAACCAACGTGCTCTGTTGAGATGTGGTTTAAAACAAGGTGAAAATCAACGTCACATGAATCCCTTCATTCGCAACTTGGAAGAGAAGCGATACACTTTATCAAGCAAGTATGAGAAGAATGGAAGGTTGACCCAATTTTTTTTTGCCCATGTTAGTGCCATAAACAACACTCTTCAATGCCCCAAAGTACTTCTCGTTGACACCAAATACCGTACTAACATGTTTGCTTATCCTCTGATAAATACTACTGGTGTCAACAATATCAGCAATTGATCGAAGAAGGGTTTAATGATAAACACTATTGCTTTAGCCTGGGTTGCGGACGAACCCAAGGTGACTAATGAGTGATTTTTTGAAACACTCAAGGCAAAGGTAATGTTGTGACATGATGCATGAAAAAAAAATATTACTTTTTATCCTTCAATCTTTGTATTATTATATTTATTTTATGTTATCACTCTCATTTAAATTTCAAATAAATTATTTTATCTTTAATTTCTTGTTTTTGTTCATAAATTAGTAAAAATGTAGATCTACGATATTCCTGGTACCTTATCAGAAGTGATATCACTGATGGAGCTGCGAGTGGTCGTAGTGCACTGGTTAATATCTTTCGAGAGGTCAACAGGATGATTTGTGTTTGGCACATTATCGCTCCAATGTCAAAGCTAATTTTCTTCAGTTGTTTCCCGACATGAAAGAATATGAAGCCTTAGTTTACTTATTTTGGATGTCACATGGTAGCAAAAAGGATGCTGAAACTATCGACAATGTCAGTAACTGTCGTATTTGGATACGATTCACCCAAGAATAATTGAGAAAATCGTTTAAATAAATAAACAAAGAAATTAAAAGAACCTTTCGCATACCAGCAAACGCTTGTATAGTGCTATACAACTTCTCCTACTACGAGTACATACGTCTATATTAAAAATTGGATGATTGGCCTAAATATGATATACGAATGACAGTTAAATACAGAATGCTATACCACTTAGTTACGATATCATCGATCGAGTAGAGTATCTTCTCGAATCAAATCAAGAATTGTAAGAAAGAGAAATTTAATATTAATAGTTCTCTCAATGAGTTAGCTGCCCAGAGATAGAAAAGAACCGCTATTAATATAAATGTAACAATGAGTACCAGAATTCAATTAATCAGCATGAGTTACTTATTGCTTATAAAAGAAGAAGAAGAAGAAGAAGGAGAAGACGAAGAAGAAGAAGAAGAAGAAGAAGAAATATATAAAAAAAGAAGGTTCTTAAAGCGATCTTAAAGGAGACACAAATCAAGTAGTATACAATGAACGAGTAAAGAATATAGTGCTTTTAGATGTAAAAATTTAAATCGTTTTTTCAATGAGCTTCTACAAGATGTTGTGAAAACATTTATACAAAAGATAACTGATAGCAACGAAAAGAGGGAAAATTACTTGGTAACGAATATATTTACGATCGTATCCTGTGTAACACTAAACAATGTGCTGGTACATCAGCCAATTAAAACACTTGTATGGAAAACTATTAAGAATGATTACCTTTCAGCTGCTCAGCTTAAATTTTGGATCATCAGCAGGCTCCAGCTAATACATGGTGTTAAAAATCATATTTACGCAAAGATACGCAGCATCACAGTTGGGTACGATCAGTATATAGGCGAAAACTCATAAAAAATAGAAGACATTTACAGTGAGGTACACATGAAAGATTAAAAAAAGGCATAAAAGATAAAAAAAAAGACATTAAAGATTAAAAAAAGAAAATGTGGTTTTTATTACTATGAAAAATGGAGACTCGCTAGCCTGTTTCGGCAAAGAAATTTGCCCAAGTGCTGGGATAGTCGATGATAGATAAAGAAAAAAAAAGAAAGTATTTTCAGACTGCTTAAAAGTTTTATTAAAAGGAAAAGTAGATTAAAGATTCAGAGGGTTCTATTCTAACTATCAGTTTGCATATGTATGTATGTTCAGAGTGATCGGATTATGAATTTAGATTGATGGATAAGTTACACGGCACTATAATTGGGCTGGTAGTTGCATATGATGTAATGCATAAAAAATTATTTTGTGTTTTGATGTAATATTGTATGGGATGATAAAATGACATTGAATTCAGTATTTTTTTATGGTGTGATTAGTAACAACAGTTGGTGGATCACCACAAGTGCAACTGCGAGGAAATCACTCTCCGTGTGCACTCACCCACTTTTTATTAGTTTTGATGGTTCTCAAAAGAGCTCCCGTGTATCACCACAAAGGGGTGAAAACACCATCTTCTTATCGTTGCAAACAGGACGATCACTAAAAAAATGCATATCAACAAGCCGATTATCGACTGATCAGACGAGGCACCCATTTCCTTTAAGTCATGCACCACAACCGACAAGTAGAATGTTACATCGAATCATTAAAGACAACTCCTGCTTTTATGCTAGGGCTCATGAAATATCCTCCTGAAGAAGAAAGTGTTGTTAAAAACGCCTCCGTATCTTGTTAAATAACCACAAAGAGGTGCCACATAAACCAAATGTGAAAGGTAATGTCACCCAGAACAAACCGCAAACATTCAGTATTCCAGCAAGTGCCTTGAGACCTGTCATCTTTGGGGACCACCCCCAAATGGCACTTGATAACGAAATTACCGAACAAAGCTACCAATCTGGAGTCCAAGATATGTCGTGTGACTTCCTATACTCAATCGTAAATCAGCCCAGCGATGACCTTTGGGACGAAGGAAAAACAATTACGTAGTAACAATAAAAATCCATAGTTGTTACAAGTATGCCAAAATAGTGAACAAAACGTCTGACATATAGAACTCATAACAAAGACAATGAAAGATTAAGCTTACTCTATTCCCCCCCCCCACTCACTAATTCGCAAGACAGTCCCCAATATATAAACTGTTTTTAATTAATTGTCATAATGATCCTATCCAGAATTTGATACATGTTTATCTTCATTACTATCACCGTTTCGTGAACTAACATTCTTATCTTGGTCTTCGTCGTCTTCAATAATAATGGTCTTCTCTCGGATCTCACGTTCTTCCTTCGTTTCAAACATAATATCAATTTCATCGCGAACGTATGGATCCTTGGGAATATTGATTTCATCAGGGAAGATCACGTTAAATCTAATGATAAGACAACCCTTGTTGTCATCTGTATCAGAGAATACGGGCATACCTTCTCCTTTCTGAATTATGGTCATGCCGGGTGTGATTACTTTTCCAGGGGTTTGTGGAATGTTCAATTTGCGGCCATCCATATGTTTAATAATGTCGCCTTTTCGATTTACTCCCATAAGAGCATCTCGAAGTTTGATGTCAATGGAAGCAAGTAAGGTGTCTTTGTGGCGCGTGAAGCAGCCCCAGTGATCATCCACAGTTACCTTGATAAATAAGTCGCCCTTGGTAACGTTGTCGGGCATGACATTCCCGTAGTTCTTCATCCTAATCGTGTGACCGGATTCAATGCCTTTGGCAATTGGAATCAACAGACTTACACGAGTCTCTTTGGCCCCAAGACAGCTTTGGCACTTCTTTTTGAAAGTTTTTACACCTTTCCCATTACAACCAGATCATGGAACGGATACTTTTTTTCTGGTATCCCTCAAGCGGGTTTCGACATATCCAGAACCATTGCAGGTCACACAAGGCTCAGAAAACAGAGCAGAATTCTCATTGCTATTATTTCAAAATTATTATCATGCTAATTTTGTTTTTTATATCTTTTTGCTTACCCATGACATGTTTGGCAGTTCACCTTCAGGTTGTAGTAAACCTTGAAGGCGCTCACGCCGAGATACGATTATTTCAAAGACAGTTGTGCAGTAGTCAGGATGTGGTAGTCTGACCCTATAAAAAAAAATTAGCGGAGTCTCAAAATTTTTTATCAACAACGCCTTACGATTAGGAGGTGGTGGTGGTGGAGGACTGGATGGTCGTGGTGGGGTTTCTGGAGCTGGTGGAGGTCGTGTCCTGCGTCCTGGTCTTGAGGTAGAAGGACGATTACTTGCATAAAAGCCTTCAAAGTCGAAATCCGTCTCACGTTTTCTTTTCAAATCATAAACCCTTTTTTTGTCACGATCGGATAAAATCTCATACGCGTTTAAGATTTCCTTGAACTACGGCAAGTTAATGTCATGAGAGGAGACAGATAAAATTAAAAAAAAGTTTTACCTTTTCAATTCCATTGGGATTTTTATCAGGGTGATAATTTTTGGCCTATAAACAAGTTAGCTACGTCGTCAGTTTATTTGAATGAAAATGTACTTACCAGCTTGTAATAAGCCTGTAATTAAGAAAAGAAGAAATAAATAAGTTACATTGTTAAAAAAAGTAAGACGCATTTATACCTTGCGAATTTCAGAGGGGCTTGCTTTTTCAGTAACTCCTAAAGTGGTATAATGTGAATTTGTCATTATAATTCTGGATGTCGAGTATGAATGAGTAAAAAAAAAAGAATGTCGACACCTACGTCTTTTTTTTAATTACTTTCTTTAAATCACGGGATTTTTTTTTAAAAAAATAACAGGTCACATACGTACTTTTTTTTTCCTTACGTTTTTCCTTAAATATAACTTTTAAAATGTCGATTACTACTTTTAAAACTACAACTTTTCCTACCGTAGGTTCTACCTTTGCCTCTGCCGAGGAGTTTAAAGACGGCTGTTTGGATGCTGCAGCGGACCAAGGTTTTGAGCTTTTTATCTGGGACAGTTCACCCATTGGACATGCTAAAAAGTCAGCCTTTTTTCCATTACGCCTGTGTATACAGCAACAAGTACAAGTCCATTAGTATCGAGAAATCCTGAAAAAGAGTTAAAGTTACAATGACAGGAACCTGAGAATTTTTTATCCGAGTAGTTTTTGTTATGATCGTGTCACTTAGAAGCATTAATTTTGGTAATTATTTGTCAGCCCCTTGTCATTTACGTGTCAGCCATCAATCATCAAAGCTCTCCCATAAATACGTAATGAATTACTAAAATTTGTCATTGCTTATTTGTATGATAAATGTCTTTCGATCCTCTACTATAAATACAGCCTAACTTTCTTTCTTCTTTCTTCTCCTTCATCAGATATATTATCTAATAACCCTCTGTTTTCTTTTCCTCTTTCTTTTTTTCTACCTCTTATAATAAATATAATAATTATCATTTATTTTTCTGTTGTTGTAGGCAAGTATTTTCACGTCTGTTCTGTCGGGCTGTCCTCTCCTGAAATAGCACGTTTTACGGATTTGTGCCTCAGTCTTCTTTTGATAATTGTTTAATTGTACGAACAATTTAAATCTGTTTAAGAAATTTAAAGTCAAATATCTTACCATTTAAGAGAACAAGAAATAGGTCAGTAGCATTTCATACCATAGAAAAGACAAAAATATAATAAAGTAGAAAGAAAAGAAAAAGGGAACTCAAAGCTAAAAAGTTTTTAAATTTATGTAAAAAATCAGAGTAATATTATTTACGTCTGGTATTGCTAGCTGCAATTAGTGCTTCAAGTTCTTTTACTGGAGCTTCTACAACGATGAAACCCCAACCTAACTCTATGTCAACTGGTGAGATTTATATGGTTTCACTTAACTATTCAA